ATAATACTATTATTACTACTACTACTACTACCGATAAAACTGCGACTACTTTAAAAACAAAGAATCCAAATTATCCAATTCCAATATCAAAAGAAGAAGTAAGAAAAAAATGGACTACGGATAATCAAAAAATATTTCTTGCAACATATTTATGTAACGGAAAAGATTTTACTAGTATTGCACAAAAAACCGGCAAGAAATCATCGGAAGTAGTAGAATATTATTATATGTTTAAACATGATAAAGATTTTAGAGCAGCTAAAGAAATGATAAGAGAAAATCATGCTTATGAAGAATATCTTGGATCAATTGAAGCAGAAATGAAAGCAATTGAAAAAATGGCTCAATCTTATGCGCCAAAATTTGCTGGTAAGAAAAAAGGTGCTCCTGGACGACCAAAGAAATCAAATGGAAAACCAAAATCAAAAAAATGAATTTTTTTTTTTTTTATTTTTTTTTTTTTTTGTATTTAGTTTTATTTAGCTTTTAGCTTTTGTATTTTTTTTTTTTTTTTCTATCATTAGCTAGCATGAGTTTTTTTTTCTTCTTAACTACATAGCATTCTTTTATTTGTAAAAATTTTTCAAAAGAGACTTTAAAAATTCGGTTCTCTTTAGCTTATAAGCTTGTAAAAAAAAAACAAAAAAAAAAAACATTCTACAAATATTATTATAAAGCACAAAACTTCAAATATTGCGTATATCTCGTTCGTATCTCATCTTTTTTTGTTTCTTATTTTGTCTCGTGCTTATAGCATTTACATTTCCTCAGCTCGGAAAACCGCAGCTCGGAACGTCCGCAGTCGGAAAACTTTTCTGATTTATGTATGCTATTATATATCACTATTTATCCATTTTTATCAAATTCCCTGTATATAATCCTCATTTATAGATTACAGATTTGCTTTGTTAGAATACAGATAAAAGTAAATGATTTTTCCTTGATGACCAAATCGGGTTATCTAAATGACGTGTGCATGTGACAATTTCGAAGAAGTACTGTAGGAGTAGTAACGCATTGGTAAATAATAATAATATTGTAATGAAAGTTTTTTTAAGAACATACGTACGTAAGTACCTACATAATTCTACCTGTTACATACATATGTACGATACATACGTACGTACGCACGTATGTATCGTGTGTATCAGACAGGATATCGTATGTTATTGTCATAAGCTGAACTATATTGAATCATATGTTAAACCACATGATCAGATTAAAGAAGCTCACCTTTGTTTTACTCCTAACGTTAATGTTGCATTTTAAGGAGTAATTTTTTTAAAAAAAGGATCATAACGTCGTAAAGTATTTGAATGAACATTTTTTTGGGTTATCAAAATAAAAAAATTCAACTATATGTTTCATAATGGATCGTTCATACAGATACGTAACGTAAAAAAGAACCCTGAATATTAATTTAGATCGGTAAAAATCAATATATGATATAAATTAATTACTTTATTTGTTTAAAAAAAAAACTTAGTGTTAGTGCTAGTTCTAGTAAGATCTAGTAAAAGCTAGTAAACAT